TCATGGCCTTGCTGGCCAAGCCGACGGGTGGGTTAGGCCCATAAGGGGTCTTCCCGAGCCTGTACCGCCTTTGGGGTCGTGCCCGTCGTCATGAGGCTCTGCAGTGGGAGCTCACCCATCCCAGAAGGTACTGGGCTGCGGGGGCCAACAGGGGAGCGGGTGACGTGGTTTGGAGGCAGGCCTTCAGGGCCGAAGCGGGTACGCGTAAGAAAGAGGTGTCGGCCTTCATCTTCAAGGACCTCAGGAAGTATCATGAGCACATCGACTTGAAGTATCTCTGGCAGCAGTGCGTGCAGCATTCTTTTCCGTTGCCGCTGGCGAGACTGGCCATCAGAGCGTATTCGCGTGCTCGCTTCCTGGCCCTGGGGGGCATCATTCAGGGGCCGTTTTTCGTCTCCAAGGGTTTGGTGGCTGGTTGCTCTTTTGCGACCAGCCTCAGCCGCGTTTTTGCCATGCAGGCTTTGATGAGGCCCTTGTTGCGATTCCCAGGGGCCCAGGAGGAACGACTGACTTTGATGCCTACGTCGATGACCTTAGTTTCAGCTGCACTGGTCCTGCTAAGGTAGTTGTTGCCAGCCTCACTGCTGGAGCCAAGGCGCTTCACCGAGCCATCGCGGCGACGCTCGAGTGCAAGCTGGCCATGGACAAAGTGGGTATGGTCAGTAACTCCCCTGATGTTTCCAAGAAGCTTTCGGAGGTCCTGGGGCCTCTTGTGGGGCCGGCCTGGTCTCGGGTGACCAATTTAGGTTCGGATTTCACTGCGGGCAGACCTGTCCGTTCTAAAGGCCGCTCGGCCAAGTTAAAAGCGAGAGCTGCGGTTGCGCTGAGGAAGACCAGAAAGCTTCAGTGCCTCCAGGAGGCCCTCGGCCGTAAGTGTTTGAAGGTTTTTGCGGCGGGTCCTATGGCTGGAGCCGTTTACGGCTCGGATTTGTTTGGTTTCGGACAGGGAACTGCTTAACCTTAGAAGGATGGCCATGTCGACGGTCAAACCCAGAGCCCAGGGACGCTCCCTCAGCGTCTTGTGTCTTCTCTCGGATGACCCCACTTGGAGGGGCAGTTGCGCGCCTGTCATCCGCTGGGCCAAAGAGGTCTGGACCCTGCATACGTGCCCCCCGGGTAACGGTAACGCTTGGGCTGGGCGGGGCATGGCGAAGCAGGGGCGCTCTGCGATCGCCATAGTATGCGCGCGAGCAGCACTCTCTGCCTGAGAGCACCACAGTGGCTTGCGATTCGAGTACAAGCGCAAAGCCCGCCGCGTGGTCCCGGCACCACGCCCGCGCCCGCGCGCGCGACGACGATGATCGACGAGCGACGAGCGACGAGGTCGACGACGACGACGACGACGTTTGCCGCCTGTTTCGGCCTCCGGAGGCCGTTTTCGGGCGCCGTCGACGACGACGACGACGACGACGACGACGACGACGACGACGACGACGACGACGACGACGATTCGAGTACAAGCGCAAAGCCCGCAAGCACCAGCATCGCGCATGCGAGCGCCGCAATGGCCTGCGAGCGCCCACAGTGCGCCTGCGACCACCACACCACAGTGCGCATGCCTTCGGGCACCAGCATGTTGGAGGGGAAGACCGAGACCCCCCCCGCGCACGAGCGTTACCGTTACGGGGGGGGGGGGGGGGGGGAGAGGCCCGGGTAACGAGCGTTACCCCCCAGAGGATAAAAAAACAATCTCTTTAAGTTGGGCTGAACTCAGGGATGGCTGGAGTGCCGTCTTTGCGTCTGATGACCACTCTTGGTCCAAAGTGGCTGGGCCCATCTCTGCTCTGCGTATGACCTTGTTTAGGCTGGGTTGGGCCATGCCTATTTTTTCACCAGCATTGATGATTTTGGCCGCGAAATCTCTTTGACCTTGTCGTCTCCCAAGCTCATCAAGCTTTACTGTAAGGAAGCCCATCTTCGGGGTCTTGAAAGAGATTCTGGGGACAAATATGGTTGTGGTTTCAGGCTTTGCTGGGATGTTGTCAAGCAGCTTTTCTTCCAGGAAGGTTTCAAGTAAAGCCAAAGGTTGGATCCGTGCTCAGGCCACTAGAGCTTGCTGGACGGCAGGTGATGTGGCTGCTGCTGGGTACGATTTGTCCGACAAGTGTGCGTTGTGCGGCAAGGACCGCGACAATCTCTTCCACAGGCTCTTGTTGTGCCCGTGCGCGCAGTCTGAGAGGGATGCGGTGCTGGACAAAAGTATTCAGAATGAAGCGTTGGAGCTAGGTGCAGATCACGTTGACCTGTGCCTGTATTTGTACGGAGCCTTCAAACATCCTGGAGACTATGCACCACCGCCGCTCACCGACGGAGGCACCAGCCTGGAATGGTTCGTTGATGCGCTTCCTGACCCATCAAGCTATGCTGCTGCTCCCTCTATTCCTCCCTCCATCGGGCTCTGGGGGCACCTCTTTATGGATGGCTCATGCCGTCGTCATGTAGTGCGTGAGCTCTCCAGGGCTGGCTGGGCCGTTGTCATGGTTTCGAGTTCGGGCGAGCGCCTCGGGGTTTTGAAAGGTCCTTTGTGGGCTCCGTGGCCTCAGACCCCCCAGGGGTCGGAGTTTGGAGCCCTGGCCTGGACCGCTGTGCAAACCGATGGCCCCGCTATGTGCTATTCTGATTGTGCTAATGTTGTTTATTTAATGAATCTTGGTGCTGCTGACGGTATTACTGCCAAGCGACAGTATGCTGGTCAAATCATTCAGGCCAGGCATTACTTTGGCCCCAACCTTATCTCGCTAGCTAAGGTTGAGGCCCACCAAGATGTTGACGAGGAAGGGCTCTCTGCGCATGAGATTCTTGCGTATAGGGAACTTCTACGCTGACGTCTATGCCAAGGAGGGTGCTAGACAGCACCCTGAGATGACTCCTACAGAGCAGGAGGCTCTCGACCATCAGATCAAGGCATCGAGTGCGATCTTGCTGGCGGGAGCGGAGCTCTTGCCACTTTGGCCGAAGCTGGAGTTTCAAGGTCTGCCGCGTTTCCCTCCGCCGCCTGGCCCTGGTGCTCCCGTTTTAGAGCTCGTCCACGACTGGTCCCAACAAGGTTCCTCCTGGCGGTGTCGTGTGTGTCTTCGGGGTCCCCGCTCGAAGTCCAAGCCGTTGGGAGGGCCGTGCCCTGGGCATTCCCGTTTGGACCAGGGACTGTTGGAGGGACTGGGCCACCGAGTCATTGCCTTCCTTTGCAGTGACAGTGGCCACCTGTTCTTGTGCATGACGTGCAAGCTATATTCTAGCGGTGGAAAAGGTCCTTGGTTTGTCCCGTAAGTGCGGCCCCCCGACGGAGACTGGTTTCAGAAACTTGAGACGGCTCCGTAAAGGACAGCACCCTGATAAGAAGGGTGTCTCGGTCGATGTCGACGAATTCATCCCGCTATTATAAGTTGCAGGTTAATTTGCCTTGCCTTCAGTGCGCCTCTGGCTGACTGTGCAAGGACTCATCACGTTCAGGGGCATGAATGTTGCAGTCGAACCAAAAAAAAACGATTTCCGAGGCAGGAGCCTGGTGGTTTGCTCTTTATTACTTCTCTTTTCTCCTCCTCTGTCTTCCCTCATACAACGATTCCTGAACGCGCATTTTTGTTTTCCAGCTCAAGTCCGTGCCCCGCATGGCGGCCGCGCTCTGTTCGATCGGATCCAACGAACGAACGTGGCCTCGGGGACGCGGATTTGATGTAATCAGGGGAACGCAGAATTATGTAAACATAGCCAGCAGGTCTGCGCGGTGTTCCTGGATCCGCGCTGGACCCCCCTCCTTGGCGCGCAGAACGCGCCAGGGGCGGCGACGGAAGCGCCGCCAGGGGTCCCCAGCGCCGACCCAAAAAATCCGCGCGGACCTCCGAATTTGCATGTGTATGTCATTGTTCGTTCCCCTAGTAATTATACAAGGGCCGTTCCCCCCCGGGGCGCGAACACTGCGTAATGTTTACTGATGGTCGCTGCCTCGGGGGCGCGACTGCTGCGCGTAATTTGCGAGAGGGGGCGTGCCCCAGGGTTGCGTGAACATTGTGTAACGTGCGAGGGGTAGTGGCTTCGAAGGCGCGAACATGATATAGCTGGCGTTTTTTAATTCACTGTTCTGCCGATCGACGCGGGCCCGCGCCACTCCCCTCCCTCCCCCCTGGAATAGATTTAAGCTGTTTTTGGCGCCTGTTTCGAGCAGGCGGGGTCCCTCCCCCATCGGCCGCTGTGTTGCAAGCAGACGCACCTAGCAGCGGTCTGGAGCCAGACCCCCCCTTTCCCCCCCTTTGCCGCCCAAGGCCGGAACGCCGAAAAAGAAAACGTTCGCAATAACCCACGTGGGATAGTGCCATGCGGGACGCGAATTTGAAAACATGTAAAAAAAAGATTGTGGCCTCGGAGGCGCCAGCCTGGCTTCCTGTACTCGTGGTCGTGTTCTCGGGAACGCGAGTGCGCGCAATTACCGATGGATCGGCGCCTCGGGGGCGCGAGTATCTTGCAATTTGCAAAAGTGCCCGCGGCATCGGAAGCGCGAGTATTGCATTATCAATCTTTTTGTAATTCGCGATGGATCGTAGCCTCGGGAGCGCGAGTCTCACGTGTTTGTTCTTGGTTTCCCTCGGCCCCCCATGGGGTTCTGGGACCCCGTGGGGGGGCGTGGTAGAATGCCACTTTGCCCCCCCATCCGCCTCGCGCGAACACTTCCAATTTACAATAGGAAGTAGTAAGTACCCATCGGTCGTTGAAGATAAGTATCTTTGGATTCCCAAGTTCTCATCTACTTTAAGTGTCTTCCTACTTCAGTGTTCGAGTGGTTTCACCTTTTCCGTCCCCCGCAAGGGGCGGACGAAACCCAATCTATTTGCAACGGCTTCCTACCTCATGTTTCCATATACATATCCCGACCGACGCGTAAGACTATATCATGGGAGATTCGCCATTGGATTTGGAACAGGGGGCAGCAGGCCCGATCCCCGCAGTAAGGGAACTGGCGGACTACCGATGGACGTCCAGCGCTGCGTCCTTTCTGGGTTCCCCAGGTGCTGGAGCCGGATGAGGACCTTGGGCGCCTCCCGGACCCTGCGGACGTGCGGGTGCAGTACGACACGAGAAGGGCAAACAGCAGCACATATTGAAACTGGCGGCGCGCACAGAGGTGTTTCTCCGCCTTCCACCTCTGGGGCCCCTCCGAGGGGCCCAGGACCGCTGAACGGCGGCTCCCAAATTCTGCAGCCGTTGTTGGCCTCAGAGGCCCCGGAAGGGGCCGCGCTAGCAGCACGCATTTTTCTTGTGCACGCGCTGGGTCAAGGAAAAGGGCCTTGTGGACGACGGGCTGGTCCCGAAGGACTGCCCCAGGGTTCGGATGTTCCAACGCATTTCTCGGCCTTTCACCACCACCTTGATGTTCTGACCTACTTTCCTGGGTCGACTACTCCAGATTTCGTAATAAAAGGGGGGGGGTCTGGACCCTCCAAGACAAGCCATTTCAGACCCCCCCTCGTGGGAGAACCCTCCAAAACATCCTCCCCAGACCACCCCAGGCCCTCCAAGATAGCCTGGAAGAGACCCCCCCCGAAACGAGACCCCCCTCCCTTTATCACGAAATCTGGCGTTTTTCTGGGGGGTGTGTTGTCCTGAAGCACGATAAGGGGGAACAAAACAAAACACAGCCCCAGGGGGCCCAGGGCCTGCTCCTCCCGGGGGCGCGCCTGCCCCGTGCCAAGCCCACCCAGGGGGGGGGGGGGGGGAGGCGGCCCCCCGAGGGCGCGGAGAGGCCCTCGTGGGGAGAGCAGGGCCGCGGAGGCTCGACGACGGCCCTGCTCGGGAGCCCGGGCGGCGCGCCAGGGGGCCCCCGGCCTCGGCCTGCATCGACCAGACAAAATAGTCTGGGGACGATATTTTTGATTATGTTTGACCATTCTGGAGCATTTTCTGCTGATTTTTAATTTTTAGTCCCAAATCCGCCGGTTGGGGGACATGCCCGAGGAGGCCCCGCCTGAGCGAGGAGGGTATCGGAATACCATACTATTTGCATGGTTTCGTGCCCCTCCCACCCCTCCAGGGAGGCCCCGCCTGAGCGAGGAGGGTATCGGAATACCATACTATTTACATGGTTTCGTGCCCTCCCACCCCGCCTGAGCGAGGAGGGGAACCCCTGAGCCGAGGAGGGTATCGGAATACCATACTATTTACATGGTTTCGTGCCCCTCCCACCCCTCCAGGGAGGCCCCGCCTGAGCGAGGAGGGTATCGGAATACCATACTATTTACATGGTTTCGTGCCCCTCCCACCCTCCAGGGAGGCCCCGCCTGAGCGAGGAGGGTATCGGAATACCATACTATTTACATGGTTTCGTGCCCCTCCCACCCCTCCAGGGAGGCCCCGCCTGAGCGAGGAGGGTATCGGAATACCATACTATTTACATGGTTTCGTGCCCCTCCCACCCCTCCAGGGAGGCCCCGCCTGAGCGAGGAGGGTATCGGAATACCATACTATTTACATGGTTTCGTGCCCCTCCCACCCCTCCAGGGAGGCCCCGCCTGAGCGAGGAGGGTATCGGAAAACCATACTATTTACATGGTTTCGTGCCCCTCCCACCCCTCCAGGGAGGCCCCGCCTGAGCGAGGAGGGTATCGGAATACCATACTATTTACATGGTTTCGTGCCCCTCCCACCCTCCAGGGAGGCCCCGCCTGAGCGAGGAGGGTATCGGAATACCATACTATTTACATGGTTTCGTGCCCCTCCCACCCCTCCAGGGAGGCCCCGCCTGAGCGAGGAGGGTATCGGAATACCATACTATTTACATGGTTTCGTGCCCCTCCCACCCCTCCAGGGAGGCCCCGCCTGAGCGAGGAGGGTATCGGAATACCATACTATTTACATGGTTTCGTGCCCCTCCCACCCCTCCAGGGAGGCCCCGCCTGAGCGAGGAGGGTATCGGAATACCATACTATTTACATGGTTTCGTGCCCCTCCCACCCCTCCAGGGAGGCCCCGCCTGAGCGAGGAGGGTATCGGAATACCATACTATTTACATGGTTTCGTGCCCCTCCCACCCCTCCAGGGAGGCCCCGCCTGAGCGAGGAGGGTATCGGAATACCATACTATTTACATGGTTTCGTGCCCCTCCCACCCCTCCAGGGAGGCCCCGCCTGAGCGAGGAGGGTATCGGAATACCATACTATTTACATGGTTTCGTGCCCCTCCCACCCCTCCAGGGAGGCCCCGCCTGAGCGAGGAGGGTATCGGAATACCATACTATTTACATGGTTTCGTGCCCCTCCCACCCCTCCAGGGAGGCCCCGCCTGAGCGAGGAGGGTATCGGAATACCATACTATTTACATGGTTTCGTGCCCCTCCCACCCCTCCTGCGTCGCGAGGAGGGCATCAAGAAACTGGGTCCCACGAAACCGTTAATCTCTTTATGTGGGGAACTCCGTTAGCATAATTTTTAGTCCCAAATCCGCCGGTTGGGGGACATGCCCGACCTAAATCGATTGCCCTCTCTGCAAGCTTCCCCCAGCGGCAGGAGCCAGTGTCCGGATCGTCCCTCCGGTGCTGTTGTGGGTCTTCCTCGTCGCCCCACGTGCAAAAGGTGCCGTCGCCGAGACGAGGACCAGACTGTGATCGCTCTCTTACTCACTGTTTTGCCGGTCGGCGCGGGCCCTCGCCCCCCCTCCCCGTCCCCCGCCCCCACGGAGTGGCTCTCGGCTGTGGTGGGCGCCGGTTTCGAGCAGGCGGAGTCCCTCCCCCACAGGACGCGCTGCTGCAGACAGCCGCACCAAGCAGGGGTCCAGAGCGAGCCGCCCCCCCCCATATACACAAATAACAGGATTTCCTATACCTTCCCCCCAAATCCCATATTTTCCCATATTTCCCTGGAAATCCCCCCTCCCACCTTTTCGCTCAATGTGGAAGCGCCGAATCGGAGAACGCTTACCACCCCACCTTCGGGCCTCCACGTTGCGCCACGGCCCATCGGGCGCCGCAGCGTGCACCAGGCAGAGAAACGACGCCCCCACGCCAGATGTCCTGGTGCGTGCTGGGCCCCGTGGGGCCTCAGGTGGGGTGGTGCCGTCCGTTTTCTTGTTCACTTCCGAAGCCCCACCGCCCGCCTTCTCAGAAGGGGAGGAGGAGGAGGAGACAGATGAGGAGGAGGAGGTGGAGGAGGAGGAGGAGGAGGAGGAGGAGGAGGTGGAGGAGGAGGAGGAGGAGGAGGAGGAGGAGGAGGTCGCTCCCCCCCTCGTGTCCCCCCCTTCAGCCGTGCTCGCCGCCAGGTGAGCTTTCGGAGGTCCACGCGGCTGTTTCTCGGGTCGGCGCCGGGGAGCCCCGGGGCGGCGCCTCTCTGGGCGGGCGTCGCGCGCCAGGAGGGGGGCCCGCGCCGACCAGAGCAGTCCGCAGGGGCTTCTGCAAGCTGATGTGTGTGCTGCATCTCTGGGCCTCCCAGATTGGGGTCCGAGCAGATGGGGTCGGAGGATCGCGCCGCATCGCCGATGCATCGGCGATGCGGCCCGAGGTGGAGCCTGTGTTTCGCCACGCCGGCGTCGCCGACGCATCGCCGACGTCGCCGATGCATCGCAGATGCATCGGCAAAACACCGGCGATGCATCGGCGCTGCGGCGCGATCCTCCTACCCCATCTACTCCAGCCCCATCTAGGAAGCCCCAAATTTGTTCTTCTCACGATCCCCCCAAGCCTTTCGACCGCAGCTTCTGCAGGGAGATGGCTACCCTCGCTCACAGTGCCTGCGACCAGGTCTTCTTCACCGGAGACGTGATCGCTGCGGGCGAGCTCGAGATTCCTGGCGCCCAGACAGTGCGGGTGGAGGTTCTGGACGACGATATTCCCAGTCTCCAGCTCAACGTGAGGTTGAGGATCCCCGAGGGCAGTCCGCTGATAAGCTCCGCGTCGGGCGACGAGGTAGAGCTGCGGTTGACAGAGATCAAGCTCCACTCCGAAGAGGCCGTCAAGGAGGATGACCTCGACGCGCACCTCGTCAAGGGAACGATCGAGGAGCGTGGCGGCGGAAGCCTGCTCGTGAGCGCAGAGTTGGCGCTCGAATATGACGACTCGTGCGAACTGTACGACGTCGAAGTGGTGGACGGCCCGCTCTTCCAGCTGATGCAGCGGCATGCCTCCAAGGCGGTCCGAGAGGGCGTCTCGTCTCAGACAGGCGCGGTGCCCACGGAGCTCGCGGGCACCCTGAACCGCCTCATCGACGAGCTCAAGAGCGGCGCCACGCCGGACTACCATCCGGGCTCCAACGGCGTGGTGTGCGACATCGTCCATCCCTGGAGGGGGGCCCGTCGAGACGACACGACAGCGGCCCTCCCAGGCGTTTCTCGCCCTCTGGGGGGTCAGGGTGCCAGAGACGGGGCAGAAGCAAGCGGGGGCATGGGGAACGCCGATCTCCTATGCCCCCGCGCGGCGGAAGGGGGAGCCTGGGAAGAAGCAAGCGGCGGCATGGGGAAGCAAGCGGGGGCATGTTTTACTATGCCCCCGTTCAGGGGGGACCTGGCCGCAGACGGGGGCACAGTGAACGGGGGCATATGGAAAAGCCTAAGCACCCGTTGGGCCAAACCCCCGCCTAGGAAGCTCCGAGGGAGGTGTCTCTTGTCGCCACGGCGGATGCAGCCACGGCACAACACGAGCAAGGGGACCGATGCTGAGCGGGGCCCGTCGAGACGGCAGCGGCCCCTGCGTTTCCCTCGTCCTCTGGGGAGGTTTCTCCCGTCGCCACAGCGGCTGGCGCCACAGCACAACACGAGCCGGGGACCGATGCCGAGCCGCGGTGGTCTCCGCTGGCCCTCCTCCGGCATCCCTCGCTGTACCCCTTCGTCGAGGGCACGTCAGTGGTGACGGGCCTGCCGGGCTCGTCTGCCAAGGCGGCAGCGCTCGTTTCGATACCTCCAAGTCGATTCGATTCGATGTCGATGGCCTCCGATTCCGATTCGGTTCGACTTCGGATTCCGATGTGGATTCCGATACCCCAAGGAGGCTTGCTAGCCTTCCGAATTCTGCCAATTTCTGCCGATGTCTGCCGATGCCAGACTCGTCTGCCAAGGTGGGCGGCAACCCGGAGGGCAGGAGTCGAAGAAGAAAAAATGCCATGGACATACATGTTTGGCGCTCCGCGCGGATTTCTTGGATCTTCGCTTGGACCCCCCTGGCGGCGCCTCCGGCGCCGCCCCTGGCGCGCTTCGCGCGCAAGGAAGGGGGGTCCAGCGGAGATCCAAGAAATCTGCGCGGAGCGCCAAAAGTTTATGTTGATGGCATTTCTCCATCTAAGGAAGACAGACATGTGGGGAAGAAACTACGAGGGCAGCAAGTACCAGTGGTTGCCGTCCGAGGTTCGGGCCCGGCGAAAGGGTAGGATAGGGACTGGGGTGGTTACGAAGGCTGCTGCATGCAGCTGGTTTCGGCCCCGCCGCCGCTGGGCCCACTTCTCGATGCATGGGCGCCTCCCGGCGTCGGGAGGCGCCAGGACAACCAGCTACATTGGCTGATTATCTGCCCTGCCCTTTGCTCTGCTGCCCTTTCGTCCCCCCGAGAGGTCTCTGTGTCTGCCGCAGGCAAGTGCACCTTCGACACCTACATCAACAACCTGGACAGTGCCACCCAGCGCCCGTTGTACGCAGCCCTGGAGAGCCTTCTGGGCCGCTGCCTGCCGCTGCTGGAGGCTTCCTGGGCCCACGGCAGCGCCACGTGCGACGACAACATGAACGACGACCGCTTCACTCTGATTGGCGCAAGTGGGGGTCCAGCTACAAGGGGTGGTGCAATAGACAAAGGCGCCCTCGAGGGCGCGAAGTTATTCGCGCTTCGCGGTCCGGCTCCGATTCCTTCTCATCCTCCTCGTCTCCCTTGGGGGGCGGCTCGAGAGCGCGAACTTATTCGCGCAGCGCGATGCGCGAAGCTACGCGCCCTTGAATAGATGTGCAATCGACCTGTGGCGGCGTAATGGATTTGGGGCGTGCCCTATAGCCTGGTGCGTAAATGTACCATCGGATTCGTGCACGCAGTACACTGTAGTTGCAACGCGATGCAATCTGATCCTCTGGCGCTGTGCATTTGCAATACCACTACTACACTCAGGAGGGGAAAAACCCACAGACACAATTAACCGTCGACTGTCAGGAAACTACGGGAATGGGAAGGGGGGGGGAAGAAGACAACAACCCAGAAAATATTGGAACTATTATTTGTGTCTATTGCGAAGGCCTTACGGCCGATGCCGCCGACCCTGAATGGGGACGAGCTCTCGGAGGCAACTGGGGCCGACGTGGAGTGTATGAAGCTTGGAAGTCGAGCGGGCGAAAAAAACATGGGCGATTTCGGGACCTCCTGGTAGCCTCTTGGAGCGGGGAGCTTGAAATGTGGGTTGGTTTTCCCCCTCTTCGGCCTCTCTTCGGGTGTTCCTGGGGCTCTCTTGGGCGTTCTCGGCCGGAGAAGGGGGAGGGGGGGGGGTCACGATTCGCAGGACGCTTCCAGTGACCCCGCGGGATCTTCTCCTCCCTCTCACCCTCCCCGGGACCTCCCCTCTCTCGTGGGGAAGGGATTACAGGAACGGGGTCCCCTTCGAGTCGATTACGCTGTTGTTCGATTCTCCTCTGGCTGGAGCGTTTGAGGAGGTGGGCCGAGGGAAGAGGGGGGGGGGGTGGTTCTGGGAGGCTCATGCAGGTTTCAGGGTGGTGCGGGGGAAAAAACGACGAAGAGCGAGGGGGAAACAGAGAAGGAGGAGGATGAGGATGAGGAGGCAGATGAGGAAGAGGAGGATGATCGAGGATCGGGGTTCGAGTCGATGTTTAATTTTCATGGTCTTTTTTGGGGGGGCTCCCTGGAAGCCTCCGAGGATTTCTGGGGGCCCTCTTGGGCCGTTAGGGGACGCTTTTGGGCGCCTCTTGGGGTGTCTCGGGGCGATATTGGGGGCCTCCTGGGCCGTCTTGGCGCGTTGGCAACCGCCAGAGGCAAGAGCGCTAGAATCCTGCAAACACGTATGGGAAATCTACGATTTTTGCCTCTTGGGGCTCTCGTGGGAAAGCTCCTGGATGCCTCTTGGGGCGTCTTGCAGGCCTCTTGGGCCGTCTGGCAGCCGTGCAGGCGTCCTGGACAGATCGTCAGGCGAGTCGGGGTTCTCGTGGACTGCCTGTCGGGCATATTAGACCACACTTGGCCCTTTTTGGAACTCTTTTGGAGAGCGTCGTATCTGACCCCCCCCCCCCCTCCCGGGACCCCCCCCTCCCCCCCCCCCGGCGGGGGAGGGATCGAAGGGAAGGGGCTTCCATTCGACTCCATTACGGCGTTCCTCAACGCCTGGGAAAGGAGGGGAGAGTACGACAGCCACGACGACAAACGAATGACGGGCTCAGGCGGTCCCTGGAAAAGGGGGGGAGAGGGACGACAGAGACGACAAACGAATGACGGAGATGACGACTCGAACGGACGAAGCCCCTCACACACGCCGACAGGGTCGGCGGATTTATTTGTGTGCCCCTGGGCCCCTTCATACACGTCTATCGCACCACCCCCTGCCAGCTAGACCCCCTCTTGGGTCAGCCAGGTTCACGTCCGACCCCGAGGACGGTGATCCGGCGCACCTGGAGGAGAAGAGCCTCCGTGGTCGGACCATCCAGGCCTCAGTATTCGAGTAGGGCTCGGCTACAGATTTGAGTTGTCCCAGAATGGATTGTTCTTGTCGAATCCACGGGCAACTCGTATCACCCTCGCAGATCTATGCATTGCTGACGTATTTGGTTGAAGAGGCGACGTGCAAATCAATTCTGGGGTAGATCAATTCTGTAGTCGATCCCCCAGTCGAAGTATCGTCTGTCTAAGAGGAAGAAACGACGTAAACACAAACTGTCGGAGCTCCGCACGGATTTCTTGGATCTGCGCTGGGCCACCTCGGCGGCGCCTTCGGCGCCGCCCCTGGCGCTCTCCGCGCGCCAGGGAAGGGGGCTCAGCCCGGATCCAAGAAGTCTGCGCGGACCTCCAAACGTGGATGTGTTTGCCGTTTGTTGTTCCTCCAGTCTTAAGTCGGGCACGTCCCTCTACAGGAGGAATACTCGAGAGTCGTCATTAAGTAGTCTGGGGACGATGTTTCGACTAATCTTGACTATGTTCGAGCACGTTTTGATTATTTGATACGCCCAAAAACCGCCTGTACTGTAGGGGGACATGCCCGACCTAACTCAAGTCTGAGCCTATCCCCATCCCCACTGGGCCGCGGCAGCTCGTCCACACCAGTCCACCCTCCTGGGTGGTGCTCGGCCCCGCGCAGTCCGGAGGAACAGGCGCGAACCCCCACCGAGAAGGAGCAGCTCAGTCACAGGGCAGGAGGAGGAGGAGGAGGAGGAGGAGCAGGAGGAGCAGGAGGAGCAGGAGGAGGAGGAGGAGGAGGAAAAGGAGAAGGAGGAGGGGGAGGGGGCGGGGGGCGGGGGCGGGGGAGGGGGAGGGGGAGGGGGATAAAGGGGGGAAAGAAGAAGAGGAGGACGAGGAGGAAGAGGAGGAGGAGGAGGAGGGAGGGAGAGGAGGAAGAAGAAAGGAAGAAACCGACGACGAAGAAGACGAAGAAGAACAAGAAGAACAATAAGACAAGTCACAATAATAATAACACTAAGTAGTCTATTAATAATAATAATGATAAGAATGCTAATAAGAAGAGGAAGACGAATAATAATAATAATAATAATAATACGAATACTAAATACAAAGAATACGAATACTAACAATAATAAGGAAACGAAAACGCATAGTAAGAAGAAGAAGAGGAGGAGGAGGAGGTGGAGGAGGAGGATGAGGAGAGGGAGGAGGAGGAGGAAGAGGAAGAGGAGGAGGTAGAGGAGGGAGGAGGAAGAGAGAGGAGGAGAGGGAGGAGGAGTGTGGAATGAGGAGGGGGACGATGGGGGCGAGGGGGGGGGAGGAGGAGGAGGGGGAGGAGAGGGAGGAGGGGGAGGAGGAGGAGGAGGAGGTGGAGGAGGAGGATGAGGAGGAGGAGGAGGAAGAAGAAGACGCATAAGACGAATACTAAGAAGATGGAGAACACGAAGAAAACTAATAATCAGAAGAAGCAGACGAATACTAATAACAATACTAATAATAATACTGATAATAATAATATTAATATTAATATTATTAATGATAATCATAATAATAAGAATAATAATAAGACGAAGACGAAGAAGACGAAAAAGAGGAGGCGGAGGAGGAGGAAGACGAGGAGGAGGAGGAG